GTCATGTGTGACCCTGAAACTTCAACATATTTAGAGAAAAAAATGCTCCTTTGCTCATATTTTCACCAATGGATAGTTCAATTCAGCCAACTAAATATTTCCTTCCCTTTGGCTAAGAATATAATGAATGCAAAAAACACTAGTTTCCATCTTTCAAAAAGGATTAATCACTTTTTTTTACTTCTATAACCATAGGATCTCTATAAAGTAAAAATCCCTGAAACATGTCGCATATAAAATCAAAACAAAATCACTCTACTCTAGATGCACTGAATAGACTGCTTCTTCTGACAAAGAATCAAGCCTCTACTTCCATTAAAATGAAACACAATTTACATATTTAAATAAAGTTTGAAAATAACTTTATATTTGTTAATGAATGTCCTGTTCTATCAGGCTGAAACCATCAATTTTTAGTTAATTATACTTCTGTAGCTTATTTCTTAGGAGGACTGCAAAAGGGCAATTGAAACCCAAGAAGGGAAGTAATAAGTTTTGGAAGCTATAAATTTGAATTAATAGGATTTGGAAAAGAAAAGAGAGGGGTCAATAATAAAGTTAGAAAAAAGTATGGTAGACTGTGAAAAAACAGTACAAAATAAATTGTAGGATAAAATTGTAAAAGGCTTTGAAATGAATGAAACACTATTGAGTGTAGTCAATGAAAACTAGGTCATTTTGTAACAGTGAAATGCTGGGTGTCTATGACTCCATCTTGTTCACACCTACATTGTTTCAATGGTCTTTAGGCTAACAGTGCCTGCTTCAGAGATGCTAATCATTAGAGAAATTCTGCTTGGGGCTTGAGTTTTTACAGAAATAGCCCCTCCTATTTTCCTCCGACCCATCCCTTGACATAAAAGAAGCCTGAATTCTTTACTTTCTTAAAATGAATTTGAAAAACTGCTAGCACCCCTATGTTCTCAATTAGCAACTTCTCAATCAATAAACCTTTCCTTACTCCAAACTCTGGTATTTTGAGTCTTGGCCTTTCAGAGAATTTGGACCCATAATAATTTTTCTAACATGTCTTTCCAATTAGCTGATTTGATACAGGTTCAGAGTAATTCACTGACTTTGAGCCATTTTACAACTATGTATGTAATTCATAAAAATTTATAGTAGTACAAATAATTCTTTTCCACATACATGCAAATTATGCCATTTTAAATGCAATTAATTATTATCCTATGGATATACAATTCAGTTTGCCAGTTTTTGCATTTATTTATAACTTCACTTCGAGATTCCTTATTTAACTATATATGTGAGGGTTTGAAATCTCCTTTGAATTTGTTGCAACATCTTATTGGTTTCTTCATTAATTAAAGAGTTGAATAATTCTTTGACATATGATCATTTAATATCTGTATGAGAACCAGGGTTATAACTTAAAAAATGTTATTCTTTAATTACATGCATTATTTCTTATGAATATCAATAATAGGTGAGAGTTTCCTTTAAAAAAATTCAATTTTCTAGTTTACTAAGTAGAATAAAACTATGATACTAAATAATAGTTATTTTAATTTTAAAAAAGTAATCCCTATGCATGATAAAGTCCATTATATCTTATTTATTATAATAGAACCACGTCATATAGTAGAACCAAGTAGAACTCCCTTGCATTAACAATCACAGAATACAAAACAGAGGAAAAGACAGACAGAATTGGCAGGAGAAGTGATTCTAAGGTATTTTGTAGCATAGAATCGGTGGTACAGTTGGTAAAACCAACTTCCACTGATTTGAAAAAGGTCTGCCACTCAACAGGCTTTTCCTGCCTGACACCCTGAGAGATTGTGAAACTGCCACCTGACACCTGCAGCTGGTTCCCACTCCTGTGTATGCTGCCTCCGGCCTTCACCAAATAGCTTCCTGAGGTTGTGAAGAACTGCTCTGAATGGTTCTTTAAAAAGTTTTAAAAATCATCAACTTTAGTCTTTAGTTCTTCAGAGAACCTCAACCATTTAATTTCACAATGTTTACCTGATTTATATATATTAACATATTTCTCCAATAAGTAGGGATTTTTAACTAGTATATTATGCTGCTGTCAGTTATTCATCTAAAGAAATATATTTTTTAAAGACTACCTTCTCTACAAAAGGCATAATGAGCTTTGGAGTACTTGATTTTAATTAGTTATTTTAAAGTGTGTGTGTGTGTGTGTGTGTGTGTGTGTGTGTGTGTATGTGTGTGGGTGTGTGAGATGAATGTTGATATTGATTCCAAACACTAAAATTTTTACAATGTGAAATTATTATTTCTGCCTTGAGTTACTAAGAGCCTTGTAAGTAAAGAATGCATAATTTTTTAAAAAAATTGTTAGAACAATTTTGAAGATTAGAGAAAGTAGACTATTTCAAAATACCTTGTTTTTTATATGATCAAAAATATAAACTCTATCCTGGAAAAATTATACATTAAACATCAGAAAATATGGACCAGAAATTCCATTTTAGTTTATTTTTTTGAGGAGACCATATTGTGTCTTTAGTTTTGAGTTAGGTCTAAACAGAATTGTCTAACTTCATGTGGTTATGATTCTGTTTAATTATAAGACTAAATAAATAAGAAAACCAAAGACTTTGATCTGCAAAGAGTTGTTCAAACTTTAGCAAGAAATGTTAAATATATTAAAAATGTAAACACCATGGTTTATTTGAGTTTTAATGTATACTAAATAAAAGCAAATGTTTGCTAACTCAGCATATATATATATATATATATATATGCTGAGTTAGCAAACACACACATATATATATATATATATGTGTGTGTGTGTGTATGTGTGTGTGTGTGTGTGTGTGTGTGCGCGCGCGCGCATGCGTGAATCTGTGTGTCTGTGTGTGTGTGTGTGTGTTTATTTATATAAACTGCTCCTTATTGTTTGCTGATTCTAGGAATATTAAGAAAGAGGGAAAAAGTTAAATAAGAGCATAAATGAGAAAAAAACTATCATTTTTGGCTCATATTTTTAACTTGTTCACAATAAAGAAGAGTTTGTATATATTTCCTAAAGATCTAATGGATTAATGTCTGAAAAGAACTTTTAGTAAGTCAATAGTTCACTAATTAAGATCAAACTTAGTTTTACTGTAAAATATGATCATTTATTGATTTTAAAAAGAGCTAAAAGCTAAATATCAACCAACATTAGATAAAAAATACTATGTGAAATTGAACTCCTAAGGAAGGCAAGGCATACCTTGGGCAGTTCACACATATTTGCAAACTCAAACTGAAAGTCGGTAATGAATCTCATAAGATACTGAGGTTTTATACCCTGAATCAACCAACTCCTCAGGGTAGATGAATAAGCAAAACTCATAAATTTATTAATAAGATGTTACTCTACCTATATTATATAAAATTTATTCCTCCTCCCCATGCTGTATGAATTTCCTCTCTAGAAATAATATTGGAAAGAACCCTTTACGGCTGTGCCCACAAACTTTAGGGTGTTTATGAATTACATGGGGATATTGTTAGAATGCAGATTTTGATTCTTTGGATCTGGTGTTAAATTCTGAGATTTTGCATTTTTTACAAGCCCTCAGGTGATGATGATGTTGCTAGTCTGAGGACCACACTGAGAAAGTACACATTCTCAGCCTTCATGCCACATTAAGCATTTACAATTGTGTATAAAGTGCACTTAGATTTCTCAGCTGTAATGATGAGGAAAATAAGGATCTTTTCTTGTTGTTTTAGAACTGCAAAACTAGTATCAAACACTTTAAAAGTTCTATAAGCTATATGCAGCTCATTTCATATCAACACTTCAATGCTCCCTTTCCTCCATAGGGCTAGACCTATACAGGACACATTACAAGGCACCCTGCCAGCAAATGGGATGCTGAGCCAAGAGCTTGAGCAAACAGAACCCTAAAGGAAGATTCTATTGGTGAACATGTTGAAAGCAGTGTCTTCCTCTTCTTGGCAACATAAATTGCTTAATGTATTCTACTCAATTTTTATATCAAATTCATTAAGTTGAAATTTAAAGTTGGTGCTCCAACCCTCCAATGTTTTGCTCCATATATTTTGATTTTTCTAACCTGAACTTAAAACATCTGCCTGGTTATTTCCTTTATTTTCTTCATTACCCCTTTTCCATGTACCTTTCACAAAATTCTAATCACCTCCAAACAAGCTTGAAAACTCAGAATATTAGATACTTAAAGGGGTGCTATCCACTATGGTTTTTCTTTCCAAGTGAGATCTAGAAGTAAAATGGAGTTTAAGTATGGGTTCAGTATACTGAATGAATCACTGGACTACCCAGTACATTTAGCAGGGCAATCAAAGTTGTTTTTGAATGGATTTGCACATGGTAGAATAAACTAGTTAGAGACACAGATTGTCTTGCTGAGAACCAAATACTTAGTGCTTCCATGACATCGTCTCCAAATTGTCTCCCGGTTCCCTTCACCTAAAACAAATTCAGGTAGCTAATTTAGAGACCTCTGTGGATTGGTTTCAGATCAAGTTTAAGGATTCTGTGCACTGGTTTACCTGAAAGTCCCCAAATTCCATTTGCAAACTCCACAAAGACACATCAAGTGATGCAGAGCACCCTTTGATATCTTCCAAATAAACCAGAAGTCTAAATGGGTTTTCCACAAATATCTACATATTTAGATTGTTAAGACAGTTGGTATAGATTGTTCTTGTCGTAAGAGCAATGATCATATGTGATTTTTTTTTGGACATGTCCAATAAATGTGTTTTTCATTTACTAGGCTATCAGCAAATGTTTATGAGTGAAAATACATAATAGCACTAAGTTTATACCTTCATTTTCAGGATGAATTGATACACAGTATCTCCCTACCGATGAGGACCAAAAGCCATTTTTATACCATTATTTGTGATCTTGTTTTGTTGGGCCTCGACTGGAAACCCTACAGGCAGTTGGAGAAAGCCCACGGGAGGGTTTCATCCTATGTGACAGACTGCTTTCAGACTGTGTTACAAGCCACCTTAAAACTCACTTCTTCCATGTAGTTTTTCAATGACTGTCCTCCACTGGGGGCTTCTCCCTAGAGGCAAAGAGGAAGAGAGAATGACAAGGTCAGGAGAGGGAGAAGGAAGAATGAAAGAAGAGAGTCATGGAGGAGAGTGAAACGCAGGAACAACACCAAAGCTTTTCTATCCCCCCAGCAGCTCTGTTGATGTTTGTGAGATTAACAGATGGGCAACTTCTTATTGTGAAAGATTTTTTTTTTCAAGGCAACAGCAATTTTAGGTCACATAAACATATAACCACCTAGAATAGCTAACTAAATCTTAGGACAGAATGTTAAATGTGTAGTATAAAATGTTTTGCAAATGTACTCTTACAATAAAATTAAGAAAAAAGTCACTAAGTCTGTATTCTAGAAAGGTGGTTAGGGATCTAATACACGGACTTAAGAATATTTTAGGGAAAGTGTACAGGCCATTAACCTGCCTTTTCCAAATGTTTATATAAATCATTTGCCCCTTACTTGTATGTTATTAATTAATTCTCCTTTACTTTGCCTTTTCCTAGCACTTCATTGAACGCTGGTAACCACTGCAGTTTAAATCACTGACTTTTAAAATAAGTAAACGTATATCACAAGTTCATCCGAACACTGGTGATCAAAATTGTCAAACAACTTGTTAGTTTGGATAAATTATCTCTTTATCTTACATGCGGGAGACATTTGGAAATAAATGCTGAGATACCGGGAAACGATAAATTCTAGGACACCATATGTGTTTAAATAATAACTAAATAAGTGTGAATAAGTTTACTTTTGTTCCCAACTCTTTGAGGACCCTCTTTGTTAACTTTTCAAGAACTTTCACATATATTATCTCATTTCATTAGTTTTTCACTATGACTTGAGAAAAGACATGCCCAGGGCAATTTAATACATAAATTGAAGAATGCTGAGATGTGCTGAGTGAAGGGTTCAAAATCAAGGCACTAAGCAGGGTATTTCTGAGACTGGATCCCACTCTAACCCTTTTTACCTTGTGGAAATAAAAACGTTAAAACATAAAATAAAATAAAAATTACTTTGGTTAAAAATGTGAAGTATACTATAAAGCACTTTGAGGGGATTTTTTAAAAAGCATGCCCATTTCAAAACAAAATTAAGCTAGAAGTAAAGTGCTGGTATTCCTAAAAACTTCCATATGGTAATACTTTTTTTCCAAATCATGGTTTTCACAACAAAAATTAATATACTGCAGTTGAGATGTTTCCACATGCTCCAAGCTTGTAGGACACTCAATGGATAAGATAGTAAAGGAGGAAAGATATGCTTATTTAAAATAAAAGATAAACTATAAAGAAAAGTCAAATCCATAGAAATCCCCTTATCTGTGAGGAATTTAACTCAAAGCATATAGAGATGGCTGGAAACTTACTTCAGATAAACTGTTTTTTTGTTTTGTTTTGTTTTGTTTTGTTTTTATGGTTGAACTTGCTACACTATCTCCCCTCATTAGGAAAACTAGTGTAGGAGGAATGCTGTGCAGTTGGATCTGCTAAGTCATGTTTCTCAAACTTTTGACATATGTGTACCCCTTCTATAATTTTCATAATGCTGAGTACCCCTCGTACTCATGAGAATGTAGAATCAGGCACAGCTAAGCACGGTGCAGTGCATATCCCCATCGAACTCCGGTGCAACACGTACTCCCACCAAACTCTTCCCGTACCTCTGGGGGTACGTGTACCACACTTTGGGAAACACTGTGCTAAGTGACAGGCCAGTCCTTTTGTCCTAATAATCCCTCCCCTGTGCCTGGCTGGGAAGGGCAAGGGGCTGAGGTGACAAATGGCTAGTTGTTACAGACGTTCTCTGGAGGGACCCGCATCTGCGGTCTGGATGGAGGGCCTCTGAACACCTGAGTGCTAACGGTGAGACGCTGCAGCCCCATCCCTAGGTGCTCACTGCAAAGGGTGCTAGGTTTCCCTAGAGCTGGAGTGCAATTATTTCCCCAGTTTGTCTGGACACATGCACTTTTATGCTAACACACGGTGATAACAGGTGGCTTTCTCGATGATCACATGTAACTAAATCACTAGGTGTCCTATAAGGCTTCCTTCTCAGGATTTCTTCTCCCCACAGGGTCAGGCTGATCTTCAACTCTTCCGCGGAGAAAAGGAGCAACTCACACAACACTGTTTGTTTCAAAGGCCACACAGGACTCACGACGCATGGCTGTAACTGCCATACACGACTCACTGACAGGGACAGCAGTGGTGAGGAAGAGCACTGAGGAGGAGGAGCATGGGGTACAAGATGGCAGGTGGAAAATACAGAGGAAACAGACACCTCGCAGAGATGTACAAATATGGTACAAGACCAAGGGGACAAAGCCAAGAACAAGGCGGCAGGACCTCTACCTGTTAGGATCAGAAGATACTGCCCAAAGCAAGAGGCTGGATTCCATGTGTCTGTCTCAGATCCCCCATTTCCAACACGGTCCCACCCAAATGCTGACCTCTCCTCCCTCCCCCTGCAGGGAAACTAGTGAGATAAAATATCTTCCAAAAAGCAAAGCTATCAACATCAGCCGTCCTTTCCATAGTTTTAAATAACTGTCATTTTAAATAACAAGTCATTCTAACAACCTCATATTTTGGTAAGCACCTGGAAATGAATTAAAAATATCCAAATGCAATTTCCCTTGAGAAACAAAGATAGCAAAGGGGGTGAAAGGGAGGTATACTGGGCCTGTGAAGGAGGGAAAGAATACATGAAAACTATGCCTTAAACAAAAGGGGAGAAAAAAAGGTATTTCCTGAAATGTGGTTTTACTTATCATGAACCTAAATATAACCAAAGTTGAGATAAAAATGTTTTAAATGTGAATTACAAAACATAAACTCCAAAAAAGAACCATCTGACAAGGATGCTAGAGACAAAGGCTCTTGTCACTCCCCTAGTTATTCTGCAGTTAAGGAAACATTTTCATTGAGATGGACTATCCTAGAGACAGAAGTAGGACTAGGCCCACACCCTCTCGAGTCTTTTGCCATTTTCCACTGTACTGAATTTCTTTTCTTTCAATCAGTAGCTAATTTTTATTCACCTCTTACTAATCCTTAGACAAAATGCATACAGACTTTCCTTTGAATGGAGAGTCCATTTCCTCACACACCTTTAGCGTCTAAGACTTCAGGCACTGATTTCAGTCAAAGACATTTTCATGAAATCCTTACTTCCACCGGAATGATCCTTCTCCCCACCTTCTTTCAAATGAAACTGAACAACAACCCTAACACAGAGAGCACCTTCTTAAGAAGCGCATGAAGTATGTAGAACCCATAGAAGAAGGGAGCTCGAGATATATGGCCAGGACATTTCTGAACCCAAGGGGCCCACAAAACCCCACCCATTATTTATTCCTCCCTATTTATTAAGCACCTATGGTGTGCCGCAGGCTATGTTTATATGGAGACAAACTGCTGAACAAGAACAAAGCCCTATCATAAAAAAAATTCATTTTAAGAAAATAAATACACAAGTGATTAGAATATAGAGCAAAAGTTACTTGGCGCAGGTAAACCGAGCTGCTATGGGGAAAAAATAGGAGGAAAAGGCACTCCGCCTTTCATTTATCTAACAAGTGCTGGGAACTGGTGCAGCCCACTGGATACATGAGAAGAAGAAGACAATGTGGAGGGATTAAGAGTTGAGGAAGTTATTATAAAGCTTAGTCCTCAAGACTTAGTCAACTAGCCAGAATAGGAAGCTAAATAGAAAGAGGACTCATATCAGACAGAAAGAAAATTTTGTGCAAGGTCCCAGGCACAACAGAGCAAATACCTGTATGAAACACAAGTATTACAATGAAGAGCATCAATTATACTATGCACTGTATTTTTAGATAGAGATTAACATCATGAATTATTTCCTAATTTTATACTATAATTCCCTAAAATACAGATGCTGATATAATGTTACATGCTATGTTTCTTAATTATGTTATTACACAGGGCTACTGAATTAATGACAGATGGTAAAGGATTGAAATTCAGCTTTCCATACTCCAGCATACTCTACTGGCAGCTACTGATGTCCAAGAGGATAGGCAGCGATCTATTTCTAAATAATAAAACAGTGGATGCCATACTTAGAAACACAGACATTTTTTGAAAGTTCATCTTATAAATCATTCAGAATTTTTCAATGAAAATTTGCCCACAATCTTATGGATAAATATATCGATAGCATCATTACAGACCATTTGTCTCTTACAATGACACCTTTATCCAGTAGAGAAGATACCTGATTGCTTTAGCATTGCTAAAGGCTAACAGACAGGGGCATTTTAAGATAAAGTGTTAAGGCCGACAGGTGTAGCTCAGTGGATTGAGCATCGTCCCATGCACCAAGAGGTCACTGGTTCAATTCCCAGTCAGGGCACATGGGGTTGAGGACTCAATCCCCAGAAGGGGGCTTGAGGAGGCAGTAATGGATATCTCTCTCCCTCTCCCTTCTTTAAAATCAATAAAAACATATTTTTAAAAAGATAAGATGTTATGATCCACTCTGCCTTTAAGTTCCACTACTGATCAGGAGCTAAATTTGTCCCCTCAGAAGGGACAAAGAATACTCAATCCCTAACCAATTTTTAAATTAAAACAAACTAAATATTGCCTTTAAGAGGTAATGCCCTCATTTTAAAGAATTACCTTAAAGAATGAAGAAGGGCAGAAGCAATTATGGAATTGATATATTCCTATATTATAAAGAGCGGATATGCTAATTAGACCAAACAGTAGAACAACCTTCTGAACAACCTTCCAGACGACCTTCTGGACGAAGCCAGGGCTGTGCGGGCCAGCAGAGACAGCTGGGTCTGCAAGGGCTGAGCCCCTTGCATGAATTTTGTGCATCAGGCCTCTAGTTACTAATAATGTTAAATTTTTAATGATTTAAAACATTTTAGTGTTTCTTATTATCTTCTGAAAAGTGGTTATTCAGTTGAAAAGGGAAAAAAGTATTTAATTCTTTCCTGAATCCTATATAAATAAAAAGGGGGGCGGGATGTG